TGACCTTGCCTGGTATACAGGAAGTCGTGGGTTCGATCCTGACTGATGCCTGGATATTTAAAGTTTGCAAGTTCTTCCCTTGTGGTTCGCGTGGATTTTTCTCCGGTTCCTCCAGTTTTTCCCTCTACATTTAGAAACGTGCGTTTAGCATATTTTGCTGCTGTAAATTTCCACATCACGAGCCAATTTCGTCGTGCGATCATTTGTGGCCAGGTCGCTTCTGAAAAAGAGCTACAGGGCTAAGTGGGCCTTACCTAGTAAAATAAAAAAAACTTCACAGTTTAGTTCTTAGTTTAAAAGCAAATTCCACGTATTTTACAGGTCCTGTGAGGATAATCGGCCGAGTTAAGGGCCGGCTGGAATCCCGCTCGCATTCTTTCCGTAGCGAGTGCCGCTTCACCACAGCAGCAGTTGTGACGGCACGGATCTCACGCCGTTAGGCGCTGGCGTTGCCGGTGCCCAGGCCCCACACGGCCACCATCTAAACCAGGGATTGGCAACCAGAATAACAAGGAGATATTTTTTTGTTCAAATTTCTTTGAAAGAAACCTCAATATTTCAAGAGCCACAATGCACTGGTGTGGGTGAATACGATGCAGCGGTCCTTAACACGAAACATCACGAAGCAGTCCTTAAAGAGCCGCGTGCATTTCCAGAGGCTCAGGTTGCTGACCCCTGACCTAAACGAAGCGAGGGCCGATGGGAATTAGGATCAACTGCCCATCTGCTCGAGCCAATTCAAACAGGATAAAACCTCGCATGCGCGTCCGTTTGCTTTCTGCACATATATTGCCCAGCTTAAACCCACACGGGATCCCTCACTTAATTCACGCATGCATTAAGCAGCGGCCCCTTTGTCAATCCAATGCTGAGTGAAGAAAAGCTACCACCCGCACGGGTCAGGTGACGTGGGGGGTAGTTTGACTATACTTTCACCGTGCTGCTGAATTCAGATTGTGAATTGGGGAGCACAGATATTCTAATCTCATGTCCACACCTAATATTCCAGCATTCTCCAGGTGTAGAGTTAGGGGAGTTGCTCGGCCACATGTGGTGGTGCTTGTGATCCGTACGAATTCTTGGGACGTTCCTGGGGTTTCGAACCGGTCTCTCCCTCACAATGATGAGCTCACTGTACAATGGCAAAAGGAGAGCTCAGAGCCACACCGTTGCCCTAGGTTTGGCCTGAAGGTCGGCTGAATGAAAGCACTCGAACAATGCGGAGAATTGTACGCACGTTGATAAGAAGCTGCCCGGGTGTGCGGAATCAAAAGTTTCCTGGCCCCAAGTCACACGATGGGATTCTCAACGGGCAAAGGAGCGGAGTTTGAACAGCCGGTGGAGAGTGACTGGCGGCGACTACGGCCGCCGTGATCGCAGCTGCGGCCTGCAACGGCCACGAGGAGCCGCACCTCACGTCTTCTACCGTCCACGGTGTAACATTGTGTAACACTGTGTAACATTGTATAACGGTGCAACATTGTGTAACATCGTGTAACATTGTGTAACGGTGTAATGTTGTGTAACGGTGTAACATTGTGTAACAGGCTCCTGTAATTAACCAAACATAATTTAAGTGGAATGTGGTGTTGGGAGTTCAGTCAAAACATCTGGGTCCCCCCCCCCCCCGTTTCGGAATTCGAGCTCGCCTCCCGTGCCAGACGGGGCGCCGCGAGGCTGCGTCTTGGCGCGGTGTCCCGTGCCCAGCGTCCACACGAGAACAGCGCTCTCCCGCGGCATGGCACCCAGGCGCTCGCCACCATGCACACGCGTACACGTGTGTGAGTGTGCGTACATGTGTGTGCGTGTGACCAAGTACGCCTGCTACCTATCACCCCACCCCCCCAGATGAATTGTCACAATGAGGTTCCAAATCGGGGTTGCGATTATTTTGTCTCATTGCTATCGCCTCGTTAATATCTTTCTGCTTTTAGTTCACAGCGCTGTTAAAACTTCCCCGGGGCTATAATTTCCATGAGTTGTAAATAATTGGCTGTCGTGTTGCACGATTCGCGAGTGCAGGAAGCGATCTTAATCAATGATGCTGCGATGCATTGCTACACGCTCAGCGCAAGCGCCCCAGGGTTACGTCCACAGTGACACGTCCCTGTTCGCATGTGACCAGATAACCGAGATGAGCTCTGTGCGACACTACGGCCGATCAGCAAACCTCTCTCTGTGCCCTCGTGCAGCAGTGGGCAGCAGCAGGAGAGACCAGCCAAGAGACGGCCACTGTGCAGCAATGTGCGGCGCGCCTCGTTTGGCAAAGCCGCGGCTTCACGTTGTGCACGAGGACATGGCCGCGCTTGGGCTTGGTGAAAGAGCCGACTCAGGCAAGCTCGTCACACGTGGCACGTGTTGGACTTGCTGGCGACACGCTCTTCCGTGCAGCACCGAGGGCTCTGCTGCTTTTTTTGGATGTTTGTTTAATCGCCGCAGGTTTGCATCGCTGTCAATTTAAGCTCCTCGAGTGGAAGCACTTTAGCCGCCGCAAATAATTTCTGTTAACAAACGGAAAGGGGTCAGGGTTCGGCTCTCCACTGACAGCCGCCGATGAACAAGGCAAGGCGCTGGTTGTTGTGAACACGGCAAGGCACTCGTTGTTGTGAACCTGCCATACTGGGCCAGAGTTTTGGGTGCAACTTTGCGACCTGACTGACGTTGGACCAGTATATCCATTTCCGCTCAAAGGTAAAAACCAGCATTGCAGGAGCATAAATGTCTTGTCTCACAAGTTCACTTGACATCCCTGCACCTCGGACAGCGATTGCATGTTTGGCCAATGCGTCACAGCCACAATCGATCACATCCACAGGAAGGGCTCTATCAGCAGTCCGGCACATAAAATACTGCGAACACGTTCCGACTGATGGACGCGAAACTCAAGTCGCATGCGCGCTGCCAGCTTTCATAAAGTTCCGTTTGCAAGCGAGCAGATTAAATAAAGACATAAAATGTAATTGGACAGATGAAGCCGACGATTACTAATGAGCAGCACGTCCCAAGTGACGTACATCAATCTACATTATATCAAAGCACCGCTCCCCCTCCATGAAAAGAGGTCACGGCCATTTTCAGCGATTATTACAGCTAACGAGCACTCGCGATGATCGCGAACAATGCGCGCAGGACAGCGCCGCATTCAACGGCGACGGAGGCGGATGGCCGCCCATTGACTCGCGGCCCCTCTGAGGCCACGATCTTTTGTACGCCTAAACAATGCCACTGATTAACAAAAGCCGGAGGACGGCAGCAAACTGATCTTGCCCCGGCCGCGCCGGAGGGCTTCCACGCGCGAAGGCGTGTAGCCGCAGCCCTGCCCCGACCAGGCACGCGCTCACAACGCGTGTGTGTGTGCACGTGTGTGCGCGTTCACGTGCACAGCGTGCGCACTAGAGCCACCGAATCAGAGGTGGCAACACCGTGCGGAGCTCCCTGGCCCTCGGTCGTTCTGCGTGCACAAAGCTACGTTTATTTACGAGGCTGCGATTGCGACTCTGAGAATCGCGAATGCGCGCCGGGTTGAAACGTTCAGGCTGACCCCTTTGCTTCTCCGTCAAGTTAGCATTGCACAAGAAGCTGAAAGGCGCAGGGAGGAACCAAACGGCATCGCTGCAGATTGGCTACAGATAAGACGGATTGATCTGGCGTACAAAGGCCTGCCGAAGCACAAACTCGGCACTGGCTGGTGCCAGCGACATTGGGGGGGGGGGGGCAAACCTCTGTGGACGGAGCTCGACAATAACGTAATGCCGTTGGGCGCGTGGTGACAGCCACCGTCTAATAGCATGCGGTAGAGGAGCAGCTGATGCGTTTACCGCCCTTCCCCAGCCCGTAGAGGCTGCAATAATATTCGATCATTTCTCGACCTCCTGTCGGAAAGCCTTCGCCTCTCACGGCACTGGAGCCGCTACCGCACCGAAAGCCAAGCGGCTGCTGAACGCAAGCGCAAGCATCACCGTCGCGATCGAGAGAAACAGCTGCGCAACATCGTACCCAAAGCATTGCAACTGTTCATTGGACGCACAAATACACCGCCCAAAGTCCGATTGTAACCAGCGAACGGATGCAGAGCGGGACGCGTTGAGAAATCACGATCCACAGGTTTGCTGTTGACTACCGCACAATCAACTATCGGAAGAGCTGCCGGGGAAATTTTTCAGAAATTTTTGCTCAAATTGAAACCGGCGAAGTTCGCCTTTTCGACGTCTCACGTTTGCTGCCCAAAAAAATCCCCGTCACTCCTTTCCTGAAACACGGTTCCACGGTTATATCGCTGGGACAGCGGAGGCGGCGTACGCTCCCCCCTCACCCTTTGACCCAAGTGTGCACCACCACCAAGTAAACCTTGCTGTGCATTCCAGGAGTCGATGTAATGTTATTTGAAATCGTTACCAGGCCAAAGAAACAACACCGCCCACCCACCCACCCACCCACGCTCCCGACAGAATGTTTCTCTCCTTGCTCAGGGTCAGACCCAACGCAGCAACCTATGCCGCCAAACTAGTTCCCAAATTTCCCCGCCTGTGCCCTTGGGCTCTTGGCGTCTGGCGGTCGTCCTCTCCCACCGTGGCCACCGGCACTCTGTACCACGGCGCGCGTCCTACGGAGGAAATGTTGTCACCTGTACGCACTGTGCCTGCCGTGACGCACAGTTCGGAGACACAGAACGAGTTGAATGAAAACTGATGAGCGCACACAAAAGCACGGGCAGAAGCGTGTTTGAAATTCCACAGAGAGAAAGAGGAACCCATAGATTAGCGGAGAGACGCAGGTTCATGACATCATCGAAACGAGCGGGTCTGGGCAGGTCGCGTCACGGCGTATATGGACGATGGCCCGTGGTAAAGAATAATGCCGGAGCGGCAGGCAAGGAATTGGAGTTGTCATTCTGTTACGTCCGTTGAGGAGATGGAGCGCTAAGATAAGCTTGTTCAGCAGGCGCGAGGTGGATTTCTACATGACAAGGCCAATCAGGGAGGACGGTGACGATTTCCTACTCGTGTATCGACGTGCGTGGTTGTGTCCATCCGCCCGGGTAGAGGAGGCGCCGATGTCAAAGCGAGGTCACGCTCGACCAAAACCGCCACCGTCGCCGCCGTGTCATCGCCATGACGACCGCGAGGCTCACGCGGCCCCCCGCGTGCGCACGGGTGAGGCTCGCGCGCCGGTGAGCACAAACACGCGCCATGTAACCGAGATGCTGTCTATTTAACTAGTTTATTTTACCAGGTGAGGCCCCACTGAGCTATGTAGCACTTCATCAGAAGCGACCTGCCCACACATGATAGCCCAATGGAGTGGCTTATCACGTGGAAAAGAATCGCAGCCAAATACTTAAAATTCAGGTTTCTAAATGTGGAGGAGAAAAACTGGAAGACCCAGAGAACAATCCACGCGCAACACGGGAGAACACGCAAACTCCAAATATACAGCAGGCGCCAGGGTCGGGATCACACCCACGACCTCCTGTATACCAGGCGAGGTAGTCAACATCTCCCCACCCTGGGATCACACCCACGACCTCCTGTATACCAGGCGAGGTAGTCAACATCTCCCCACCCTGGGATCACACCCACGACCTCCTGTATACCAGGCGAGGTAGTCAACATCTCCCCACCCTGGGATCACACCCACGACCTCCTGTATACCAGGCGAGGTAGTCAACATCTCCCCACCCTGGGATCACACCCACGACCTCCTGTATACCAGGCGAGGTAGTCAACATCTCCCAGCCACCGCAGCGCAGCTCTATGGCGGCGACCTGGGTTGGGGAGAAGATTTGGGCTGGAACGTTGCGTTTCCACTCGGCGCGACGAATAGCAGCAACGCCGAGCGAGCGGGGCTCATCGTTCTGTCGGCGCGCTCCGGAGCAGCGGCCTAGGGCAAATGTGGGGCGGTCTCTGATGGCGGCTACCAACAGCGCGTTCACTTGAGGCATCGCTCAATCAGGTCTAGGTGGAGGGGGGGGGGGGGTGTTACATGGCAATCCTATGGGACTTCGTCTGTTCTTGGTCCAAGTCGGCTGGGGAACTGGAATGAATCACCATCGTGGGCACGCAGGCACGCGTGGCGGCGCATCCATGCAGAATCCCACCAACCGCTCGCTAAATATGCGAGCGTCCTGTGTGTGGGCAATCCCGTGCAGTGGGAGGCAGACTGAACCGAAAAAGGTCCCACAGATATGGCTGCTCGACTCGAGCTATAAGTGTCCCGAACCTTGCATCGTCTCTGGTGCAGGCCAATCAGCTTCAATGACAATGCATAGATTATCAGAGCCTGTTTGATTGCATGTTTTGCCAGAAGCGTGTGTGGTTAATGCAGACTTGGTGCCTTGCAACAAGGTATCTATTTTTGTGTTTGAACACCTCCTGAACCCCTCTTCCCGTCCGCTCCAAAGAGCATGGTATGCGACCCCTCGACGCACCTTAATAAGAGATCTAGCCGCGTGTTTACATCTCTTTCACAGCGGTGTGTAAGCTATGGGTCTCCAATTTGCTCTCAGTCTTGCAAAGCCTCGTTCTGTCGAAAGGTCATTCCACTTGATGTTACCAATGCATTTCTGGAGCCCTCTGCCCAGCAACATGGATAGTACACAGACGTTTACTCTCCTGGCCTGTATTAGTTGTGTGCTCCAGGGATAGAACATTCTCATTCTTGCTCATCTTGAACCAGCTGAGATTATTCTCAACGACCACTTTTCAAACCTTTCCACGCCCTAGTCCCCATCACAACTCTCTCATGGCGGCCTTACCACCGACAAAGCACTGCCCTCGCATTTGGCGCTTCCCCGTGAACTTTTGGCGGACGTGTGACATTTTTTGAGTTCAACAAACTTCGTTAAAAAAATTAACCCGTAAAAACAAAGTTTTTCACTATAAATCCTTTATATGCGTGGCATCGGTTTTATTTTATTATTCATTTCTGTTTTTCTTGAGTAAGAGTTTCATTTTTATCACATTGGAATTTTAAATAAAATATGAATTTTTTTTTTCCTATAAAGTGGAAAATTTTGGAAAAATTTTTCACGAAAATAAATTGTCACGCACAACGAGTCTGTGTGCAAAATGTCAGCTCGATTGGATCACGGGAAGTGGGTTAAAAAACGACCGAAAGATTTGCACGGTCGTAAGCGCGCAAGCAAGCAAGTGAACTTAATATAAAGGATTTAAAAAGAGATCGCTCCGGACCATGCAAGCGTTACTTTTATTAAAAGGAGGTCAGAACTAAGTGCAAGCAAAAATTGTGAAAAACATCCGGCCGGATCAAAAGAGCGCGAGTGTGAACTGTGAGCATCGCTTTTATTGGCGGTGATAAGAGGGGGGGGGGGGGGGGGAGCCCTGTGAAGACTGTTGAGGGGCGTGGGAGGCTGCGTCTCTCTGTAGGCAGTGGGGGGGGGAAGCCGAGCAAACAAGGACACCAACTGTGGGCCACCACCGCGCCCAGCAGGGGCACGGGCAGCACCAGCAATAAAACGCGTCCGTGGGCCCCGATGGCCCAACGGCATTCGGCCAAAGCGGAAACTTCCACGTGACTCTCGTGGGGAACAGTCCATCAACAGGGCAACACTCGCGGTGTCTCACTCGGTGGTGCCGAGAGACGAGCGATAGGGAGAGCTGACCCTCCCGTTGCTTTACTTCACGAGCCGTTCCAGCCAATAAACCAGAGCACCAGGGCCACACAATTCATAAAGCAAACATTAGATTTCCGGCAGATCTGCACAGTAAAAAATGAGCAACCCAAGCGGACAACTGAACTTAATAAGCGACTCTACAAGTCTACACTCAAATACAGTTGGAATAATAAGCGAAGGCCGAGTTCCCTTAAACCAACAGTCGGTGACATTCCTCTCAACCACCACGTTAACCGTTCCCCCACCCACACTCTATAGAGCACTACAGCCATGACCCCCCCCCCCCCCCTCTTCAGCAGCGGAATAATCCCAGGTGAAACCGAGAAGCCTGGGGAACAAAAAAATAATCAGGAAATTCTGGTGCCACGATTCGTTTTTTCCAAAGACGGGTGACGACGACACAGACACAAAAACTGCCAGCGCCGCCACGCACCGCCCAGGCGGGAGCGAGAACATTTAGCGTTTCCATGGCTTTCTATTGGCACCGTTTAGACACCCTACATTTATGAGGCACATTTAGGCTAACAAAGGCGAAGCGAATGGGAGCAGCACACTGACCCAGGCTTGGGCAGAGTCCCCCCGCGCACCCAGACGGACGGCAGCACCACACAAAGGGGCCTCTTCCACGCGCAGCGGGCAAGCCCCGTTAGGCCAGACACATGCCGCACCTGGCCAGGTGACGGCCCCCCCTCCCCCTTCCTGTTTTACTTTGACCCAAAACGGCCGGACAACAATACGCCCGGGGCCAAGTCGCCGCTCTCCTCTGTCGTTAAGGTCCCGAGCGAATGTCATGGCGAATTTTTTTCTCGTCACCAAACAAGCCACCCAACCCCACCAGAGGCTGGCCGTGGCAGCCGCGGTCGACCACACAAACGCGGGGATCAACGAGCCCGTGCGCGCGCCCATCCGCAGCACCCCCCCCCCAGCCCCGCACCCCCGGGGTCTCCAGTTGGGAACCCCTGCAACGACCGTTCCCGTGTTTAAATCGACTGCAAAGCAACCTTCCTTGAAGACGCGAATGCTCGCAATGCCTCGCCCGTGCACAGCACCCCAGAGCGGGTTCGAACATTCTCAACTATTTTTGTTATTTTACCAGTTGAGGCCCACTGACCGTATAGCTCATTTTCAGAAGTGACCTAGACACAAATGCTAGCTCAAACGAAGTGGCTGATCACATGGAAATGTATAGCAGCCAAATACTCGAAAAGCATGTTTTATAAGTCTGGAGGGAAAAACTGGAGGCGGAGAAAAATCCACGCAACCACAGTAAGGAGAACACGCAAACTCCAAATTCAGAGGCGAACCAACGACCTCCTGTATACCAGGCGAGGTAGTTAACATTTTGCCACCGTGGTGCACGATGTGGGGGGGGGGGGGGGAAGAGGCGTTTCCTCCTAAGGTTTTATGTCCTTTTGGTTTAAAGGGCAATAAAGTTAATGTGTAATCTGTACCCGAAACATGGCCACCCTCTTTCACAGCTGTGGGTCTAAGTCCACGGCTGCGTGGAATGTGCAGTGCCCACACACGCCGCCTTCGCTTCCGCCGCCTCCGGCCTCCTCCACCACTCAAGGTCACCCCGATCAGGCCGGGCAGCGCCCCTTCGGCGACGTTCGCCGTTTGAAACTCCGCGCGGGGGAAACGCCGACCCAACGTCGTCAACGCGGATCCCGCGGCATCTCGCGATCGCTTTGCCAGCCACAGGCGGCGAGTGCCACACCGTTCGCCGCTCGGCACGCATCGCTGCCCGAACACCCGAGCCTCGCATCAGTAAATGACGCCAATTATAAAGCGCTAATCTTCTTCGCTTTGTAGCAACACAGCCTCGGAGCCGGGCTCTTCAAAAGGCCGTCGGCGGCGGCTTGTTGACCACCTGTCGGCTACCTTCATTGATAATAAAAAAAAACACCTGCGGATAACAAGGACGGCTCTGCAGCTCAGCGAGAACGCCGCGTGGCGGAGGGCGGCTTCAAAGTCCGTGTGTGATCGAGTGCCGAGCGACCCCGCGAGGGGCCCTCATCGCCGAGCACCGCGATTTTATCCGCGTTTATTTTCATGAGAACACCAAAAAGAAGAGAGCCCCCCCCTGGGTGGTTTGTTTCCACCTATAAATAGGCCCTGCCTGATTCATCACCGCTTTTTTTTTGTCTCGCTCCTCTGCGACCGTGGTTATCAACAATTTATAACGGCTCTGCTCAAAATCTGCAATCCGGCGTGCTCGCCGCTCATTGCGGCACACGAGATGAAACGCAAGCTATTCTCAGTGAGAGTAAGAGTGATAATTGGCATTTAATTATATCGTGGGAGCATATATCTATAATTATGCTGTATTCATCCGACTCATTTTAAATTCACGTCTCAACGTAGCTTGGGATAAAGTATAGATTATGTACGTAGCTTGGGACAACGTATAGAATAATTAATAATTTATGCAGCGGATAAATTGTAAAAT